TCTAGAAACTTTGAATGAACCAGAATAAGGCGGCTGGTTAAAACATACAAATTTGAAAACCATGCAACAACCCGAATCGTTTTAGGAAAATATTCCGAAATTATATTATTTGATTATTCCCGTATAAATAAGGCAATAAATATTTGCTTCACCAATGTATATTCAGGAGCATATCCAGGTATCCACGTCCCCCAAGTGACGTTTTTCCCCATCGCGACATCCACGGCCGTGGCGGGCGCCATGGGTTTAGGGTAGTACGCCACTATGGTGGCCCCCGGGAACGTTACGTCTTCGTAACCCGGGTCCGTTTGGATTGTCCACAGGGTGCACACGTCATCTGATAACAAATTATCTCTCACAACAAAGTTTTGTTAAGTTTTTGACGACTGTTTAAAAAAGTGTGATTAACAAATGATTCTGCAAATCAAAACTTTGTACTAAAACAAATTTTTTAGTGTAAGAACGAGTGAACGAGTGAAAGTAACCTTTAACACTCGTTCACCTTTTTGAACGAGTGTAAGTAACATGATTCCTGATTTGTGCAGGCCGAAACTGTCTTCTAATACCTATTTTTGTCGCATTTTTTTAGATATATTTTACATCGAGTGCCAGTAACATGATTCGGCATGATCAAAGCTTTTTTTCTGAGACCAATTTTTGCAGATTTTCTGAGATACATTTGTACAATAAGTGCTGATAACATAATTCTGCATGACCAGAAATTTCTTCTAATTCCAATTTTGTAGCTTATTATAAGATATATTTAAAAATGAGAACAAGAATCATGATTCGGCATGTCCAAAACTTTCTTCCAAGACCAATCCTGTAGCATTTTTGAAGACGATTTTAATACCGGTACGAGTGACAGGATTCGGTAAGCTTAGCAGCAAAGAAATCTATCCTAGAAATCCATGTGAATAATTTTTGATTATTTTTAACACGTTAGAATCTAGAATTTTTTCAGATTTCATGTAATAATCTAATCAATTATTTGCACTGCTTAGTACAAATTCGGGCTTTGCAAAAACTTTTGATAACATGTACCTGCAGAACCAATATCAGATAATTTGTGTAGATTAATATAACGTTAAATTGCGATCGTGTAAAAATTACTCTTTTCCACTTAATAATGTAATTATTAAAAAAATGTAGCACGGTACCGGTTCACTGTACAACGGGCCCCCGGTGTCAACCCGGTTGTAGAAACGTACCTACAACTGAAAAGATGGTACAACTTGGGTTTTGGATGCACAGGCTGTAGCACAGAATGGTGTTGTCGAGCGTCAATGAAGATCGCAGTTGAAACGATGTAGGGGGGCATACACTTCGATACCAAGGCTCATAAGCAAGAGCAAACTGAGAGAGAAAATGAATAAGTCAATCAGAATAATATATATTTAGTATTTAGAATTCTTCCCTTATATTTATATAGCATGCCATGCTGTATTCGGATGATTATCATTTCATTTTACTGTTCATGATGTTTTGTAATTTTTATTGGTATTTAATGGTACGAACAATATATATTTTGATTTATGACTGGGATAGTATATATTCGAAATAAGCTCACCTTTTGAAAAGTACCCGAGCGTATGGTTGACAGCACATGATGAAGAAAAATGATAACTACAGAGAGAACTTGAATATTTCGCACAGAGAATTGCAGCTTCATTGGAAAAATATGCATTTTAATAAAGCGGTAAGTTGTTGTAACGCACAACAAATCTCGAATGAACGATTTTTTATATACGTTAAATTAGTGGTTAAATTGTTTATTTATCACTAAGATAAGACCTTTGATCGCTCAACAAATCGTCGCAGTCGAAAACGTTGAATTAGTGGCTAAATTGTTTATTTATCACTAAGATAAGACCTTTGATCGTTCAACGAATCGTCGCAGTCGAGGGAAGTAGTTCCCGCGTGGTTTGCTACTTATAGTGAACTGAAGGCCAAAAGGGTTTCAGTCAGGAATTTATCGGAATAATTTCTCATCACTCAAACGAACGAAACTTTCGGCAGGTGGTTATTTAAAATGCCCAATGTTCATGTTCGAGGAGATTAATCTAGAAGGGTGGTCAATTACTCCCCTGGACGAAGTTTAACAACAGTCCAATAATTAAAGTTTTATATGAACTCGTTCACTGGATGAATCAAGATGTCGAATTGAATCTTTTATTTGCCGAGGAATGTCAGAGAGAAGCCAGTACAACTTATAACATTCAACTTGATTAAAAATCGACCATGCTTCAAAATTTTTGTCGACATGGTCGACACATTTTTCATCACACGACGTATATAAATAGGGAAGCATTAAAATAATTTTAATTTTGTTTGGAAATTTGTACTTTACCGTGAACTATAATAAAATCTCATAAGAAATTTGTTAAATTTAATCAAATTTTTTAATTTTTTGTTAAAGATCCTTGTAGGTTTACGCCCAAATTTTCCAGGAAAATTGGTCAACCAACGACGATTTTGAACAAAGTTAAGGCACGTACATTGAAGCAAAGATTATAACGCACATCGTCGATGAAAACTTCCATTAAAGTTATGAATTTGTTATGAACGGATTTAATACAACTGCAAATCACTACTCAATCTTTTCACCTGACATTTTCTAAGCAAAGGTTTACACGTGTATGCTTTTACACAATGAGTACCGGAAATTGAACATTTTCATAGCATGCATCATGATTGTTAATTTATCATGTAAAAATTCTGAATACATTTTTGGGTTTCATTATGAAAAATTATTTCGTCGCATAATTGAACATTCGAAGACTTGAACTTCCAGAGGGAGATATCCGTTTGATCAACTTGTCCTTAAGCAGAAAATGGTAATCCATGGTTAGATGCTACGGTAATCTTTGAATGAGTGATGAGTTTTACTTGCAGGAAACAGGACTCATTTAATTATCATTGACAATCACGCGTGTCACATTCACTGTCACTCAATAATGAGTCTCAGTTATTTGCATGCCCAAGTAACAATACATAACAATAACCAATTACATTAAGAAATCAAAGCCTGAAAGAAATACGGTAGTTAAACGATTTTTTAGCCGATTTGCATGCATGTAAGCAAAAATAACATTATTTTTACATAACTAATTATGAGCCATTGCTTTCACGAAAAGCATCTCATTGTTTAATTAGATTTCAGTTAAATGGCATGTTAGATTGCTGTTTGATGGCGTCAAATTATGAGTTCTGTAATGTCAGCGTATAGTTCCTGCAGATGTGAAGTGAAAATACTGCAAGCTTCTCATTTCAGACCATCTAATAGAAAAAACCTATATTGGTATCAATTATTTGTGGCAATCCGGCCAAGTGAGTTAGTGAATAATTCATTTTTGTGTTTAAAAATGCAATTGGAGAGGAAACCTAAAAGCAATTTTGAGAATTTACGCGTAATTATTTCACATGGAAGTAAATATCTCGCCATCCCCAAAATATCTGGAATTTAGATCTACAGAAGTGGAGTTGGTCAAACATGGTTGCATAATCGTCACACTTACAATGGCGTTGGCCCTGACAATGGCGTTGGCCGGGTATGACTGCATGAGCAACCCACTGACGCATCACAAAATACAGCACATGCTTAGCATCTTCAATGGAGACGGTCAAAATTACTGTCGAACCGAACGAAGTAACGCATTTTCTGGGGTGAATACCGGAGGCCAGCTTTGTCCAACTTCACACTAAGTTCATATTAATTTCCGTGGGTAAGGGCGCTACAGGGAATAGCAGTATATGATGTCAAGTGCTCAAGGCCATAGCATAGCACCCCATGCCACGTCTCGGACAAAAACGCGGCCTCTCTCACGGCCGGTCTCGCGGCCGTGATTCCAAATTCAGTGAGCAGTTGTATGATTTGATTGATTTGTTGATTCCAAATGTAAGCAGTTTTCTCTGTATTGCCATATAACTCACGAACGAAGGCAAATTCGAAAAAATTGTCCCGAGCTAAACATCACCGTTGAGAGGTAAGGTATCAATATACGAAGTTTCGTTCGAATTTGTTTAGTATTTTAGAAGAAATCATACGCTCACTGTGAATTTCAACACATATCGCTGTTAAAATCACGAATGAGACAAAAGTGAAAAAATACTCGCGAACGAAGGTAAAAGTGAAAAAAATATCATGAGCTAAACATCACCGTCGGGTATTGAGAAATTTATATTCAAAATTTAATTCAAATCTGTACAGTACTTTAGAAGAAATGTCACGCTCACTGCAATTTTCACCACGTATATTCATATAACTCAGGAATGAAGGCGAATTTCGAAAAATTGTCACGAGCTAAACATCACCGTTAGGCTCTAATGATTATGTGTACCAAGTTTCATCGAGCTACGTTCAGTATTTCGCGAGATATTCCACGCTCACTGAATTTGCAATCACGGCCGCGAGACCGGCCGTGAGAGAGGCCGCGTTTTTGTCCGAGACGTGCATAGCCTCAGCTTGAGCATGCTCGCAGCGTGGTCATACTGCATCTTGCCAAATCAACTCCGGTGAAATCTCTTCTGGCCTAAGTAAAAATCTTAGTTTCTATTATCTTAGTTTCTATTTAATATCGTCAGTTTCTGGTCAGAATCGGCGAGGAGGCCGGGCGGTTAAGCACAGCAGAATTGTAGCAGTGAGTTGCGAGCTCGAGACCGCAAAATGCTGTGAATATCCTGCCATGTTATGAATCGGCGACAGGCCTACAGCCTAATAAACGCTGAAACCGCTATTATTCTATATTATTCATATCATGACGCAGCTGAACGTTGGGTCCAGGGCTTATTTATGAGCAAAATTTGTGGCCTACGGCTGCGCTCCCTAAAATCTTGTTAACAAATTTTAATAATAGTCGGTATATATGTTGTGTGTTTATGGATATTTTAAAATATTCCAGAATGAATGTGAGTTGAATATTCCAGTCCGTGCCCGAGTTTTAGGAAGTCCGTTTTTTAGATTTCGTCAGAGTGTCAGACATTTGTCTCACTCAGACACTCACACGTCGCTTAGCTTAGGTTTCTCCACGCTACGACAAAGAGAGCGCAACGCCGGCACGCCGCAAGGCCGCATCCCTTGGACACCACAAATCTCGATATAAATAATATTTTAACACGTCGCTGTCATTACGTCACTTAATTTTTTGCAGTAAATTTCAACAAATTCCGTCATGCTCAAATTCTCAATATTTATCAATACGTCGATCTTAGTCATCTTATGCCCGATAATACTTGTTCTATGTGGTTTAATAGAGGCATCAGAGCGAGGACCAAAGTCTACAGAAACATTTTCTAGTCTCGCTATTACTTCTGACATTGCTATTGACTTGGAAGAGGATGAAACTGTGAAAACAGATTTTTTGCAGAATATTAACCCAAAGAAAATATTCATACCTTCTACTGAGTGGAAAGTCATTGATGCTGGTGAGTGTGAGTCTGTGTGACAGTGTGAGTGATGAGAAATTATTTTGTACTAAATCAGAAATTGAAGTTAAGCTTAAGTCTGGTTCTTATTTTTACTAAAGAAGTTGAGAAAGGCCTGTCTCAGTGTCTGTACTGTATGAATGAATGCCGAATGGCAGAATGGGTAAAATTGGCCAGCGCCAGATAATAATAGCCCAGATTTATGGGTAATTTAGGTCAATTCAGATTTCAGAATTTATGTGCAGCTTCTGCCCAATATAAACTTTGACTTTGGTCACTGAGTTTGGTGCATACCTAGTTCATTTTTCATTTACTGATTTGTCTTATATGATGAAATGAACTAAGCACCATATGCACCATTTACTGATTTGTCTTATGAGCTTGAATCTTTTTATACTGTGTTTGTGATTGTTGAATCATAAATTTTCAAATAGTAGCTAGTTAAGCACTTGAAGCAATAAAGTGACTTACAGTTTCATGAACCAACTTTCTACTCAAACGAGTTCATCAATTCCAAGAATGAAAAAAGAAATGAAAGTTATTGTAAAAAGCTTTTATAGCCTATATATGAAGCCTTAATTATGCTTGTATATAATTGAAATAACTTTGATGAATGCAATTTCTGCCACAAAATTCATAAATTTTTCAATAACTATTTTAGAGACATATATTATTAATATAACATTTTAACCCAATATTGACAGCAGAGGTTTGTTGAATCTTAAATTGCTATGCTGGATCTACTTGACCTCAGTTTGCAATCCCAGTATTTGAAACAAATTAAACTCTTCTGCTTGATCTGAATCATCTGACTCCAAATGAGTCCAAAACAACTCAATACGGTATAATAATTAGTCAGTCTTCAAGGATACAAAATTTATTTAGACTATTTCCTTTATATCACTCAAATATTCAAGTACCACAAAAGTTGACCATCAAATTTAGTATTGTCACTTTCAATGTTAAATTGTGTCATTGTGAAAATCTATTGTAAAGAGAAAGAAGAGCTACTGGCAGTAAACTAGCTACAAAAAATGCATTGAACTCAAAAATTTAGAGCTCAGAAGTAAATTACTGGACTACCAAAGGATCTAACTTGAAATAGACATTATAAACTTCAAAAACCATAGCAAATGAAATCTTGCAATCTTGCATCACAACTACACCATTAAGATTATTGATAAAACAAACATGATCTATGTCTTTAGACTTCACCTGCAGCTGCATGCTAAGAGTCCTCCTTGGGTTCCTGTGTCAGAAGGAATAGGTTAAATTGGATAGTACATAGCAAGCAACTTAACTAGATGGTTCAGAATAATTTCAAAGTATCAGGTTAATTACTATCTGCATGGTAGGTTGGATGTTGCAAATAATAGACAAGACAATGTCAGTTTAGACTGTACCTGCATTCAAATTATGCATTAAATAATTATAAATTAAACTTTTTTACACTTCTCTTTCAGATCATGTGGTGCTACCTGGACTTCACTATCGTATGAACCTGGAGACTGGGATGAAAGAAGCAAGACTAATGGAGGGTGATGATGGTTCCAAATACCTTGCATCTGCAAAGCAGTGGTTGCAAAAACACAAAGTTTATCTTAATAATATCAATGACTTTCAAGCTGATAAGTTTCTCAGTGATGTTCATAAGGAAAACCTTTATCTTAAAACTGGAAATGAAAAGGGCAACTTGGAGGATTTCATGAATGATGTGAGAAAAATTGATGATTCTCAAAGGCTGAATAGAGAGCAAGATGATGGTACCACTGACGAACCAGTTGAGGTAGGCAAAATTTAATTTAAGATGGATAAAGCAATAACATGCCTGATCAATTGCTACTTCACCAAAAATATTTTAGGAACTTAGAAGTTGCCTTGCCCATAGCTGTTCCTAATTTCTCTGTTTTGCATTGACTTTGCTTCTTACCTCCACTTTAGGATTCCTCAGTTTTAAAGTTTGTTGAAGTTATCAACACATCTTCCAACACCAAGTCATAATATTGGAGTTGTGTTTTTATTTTGCAGCACAAAGAAACATCTACCAAATCATTTCGGACTTATGAGGAGTTAAAGGAAGAATTGGCTGCTCTGAATCTAATAATGGAAAGTGAACAGAACATTGTTGCCAAGAAAATTCTTGATCACTACGGCCTTGAAACTGATGATGAAAGATTGGAGAGTCTTGCAGACCTAGAATACTTACTTCACAACATTGACAATGCCCAAACTTTTATTGATCATGGTGAGAATTTTCTTTGTTATTCTTGCATTGTTCATCGTACATTTGACTGAACTATTCACTTTGTAATACTGTATTTTTATAGTACCAATAGGAGCTCATTAAATATTTGAAGCCTCAAATTTAAGAATTCTAAGTACCTACAGTACCGTTTGTTCAATTTGAAGTATATATTTATTTATTTGAATCAAGCCGTTTTGATTTGAAGTATTTCTATCATGCAGTAATTTTTAATTTTCTGTAGTAGTTAGGCAAGTTGTACCTACTGTTTGCATTGCAGGAGGCTTTTCAAAGGTAACGATTCCTGCCCTGAATAGCACGTCGTGGGAGCTACGGCGGGCGGCATGTCGTCTCCTTTCAGCTTGTGTCCAAAACTTTCCCAAGGGCCAGATCAGTGCTTATGAAGCAGGGCTCGTGCAACGCCTCATAGCAATGTTGATTGCTGATCCTGTGAGTGTTTTAACATGTTTCTTTCTTCGTTACCTCAATGCTTTGTCAGCTAAATAATTTACAATTCTGTTGAGAAACGATTTGAGCAAATGGAATAATTAGTTCAGGCTACTGCTAAAAAATAACTACTGAAATAATATTATTTTATTTTACTCTGTGACTATTTGAAGTAGGCTGTGTAAATATTTTTAAGCCATATTCACTTGCATATCGTATATGTACATTGTTAAAATCTCAATTTTGTACGTTCAAATAATAGGAATTGGGTTGACATACAGTGGGGGGAAATAAATATTCGTACACTTGAAAAATCATATTTTAATGTATGTAAGTACACAAACTTAACAGGAAAAGTGATTTAAATTATGTATATGCATTGAGATTTAATTTCTTTTGATAGTATTTTTGAATACTATGCGTCTCTATACATAATTTAAATCACTTTTCCTGTTAAGTTTGTGTACTTACATACATTAAAATACGATTTTTCAAGTGTACGAATATTTATTTCCCCCCACTGTATAGAACCTAATAAGTGTATTTATTTGCTATAATGGCAAACTAACCATATTTTCATTTAAAATGTTGCAGGGATCCTTAAATCTCATATTTTTGTGAGGAACTTGATTCCGCTCCTTTCTTGCAAACTGTGCAATTTCATATGCATTATTATACATGAGTTACGACATTATTGTTTGTACAGGAAGCGACAGTGCGGAGTGCTGCGTTGTCAAGCGTGAGTTCTCTAGTGCGTCACTTCCCACTGGCACAGCAACAGTTCATTGCACTCGGTAGCCACGCTGTCAAAGCTACGCTATTCTCGACCACAGATGCCTCTGCAGTACTGCGCCGTAAAGTGAGTACCGTACCCACAATTCCTGGGATTGGAATAATTGCACCTGATCAAAGGTTCATGTCCTGATCTTGTAATTATTCACGTTCTTTGTTTGCACGTTGGAATTCACGTTAATGTCGGTATCCAGTTTAATTTTCCCTGCAAGTACCTACTCTATATATAAAGTAAGAATATAAGACATAATGACAGCGTTCCACTGCCGGTACGTTTCAACAGGAATAAAATTCAATCATTAATGCTACTCTCTTTCAGATGATAAACTTACTGAGCGATTTACTGATGGAGCGTGCCGAGACCTCGCTAACGGAAGACCGCCTGTCGCAACTCGAGGCTGTGAAGCTCGAGGAGTCGCTTGCTTCCATGGGCTGGTGCAGTTTAATTTCTCAGCAACTCGAGCTTCTTAACAACCAGGTGTGTTCAATCTCAAGGCCATATTTACCACGTGACCACTACATTATTGAGTTACACAATTTAAGAATTTATTATTTAGCATCCTTGCCTATCCTATGAGCTACAAACACTTGTTCGCTTTATTTACCATTGGGGCAAATCCGACGCAAGCGTGAGTCTTGATTCAAGTATTATTGCAGTTGTCAGTTGAAGCTTCAGAGTTAGAGCGCGGCAGCATAGAGCACAACTTAGACTCAGTACTACACGTGGTTGAGGCTTCACCAAGCGTGTGCAGTGAAGAGCTTCGCAACGCCGTGCCTGCGCTACGAAAACTCGCTGCCCTACAGGACGTCTTCTCGCAACCAACCCACCACAACCTCGAGGTACATTAGCTCCTATAGTCCTCTGATCATACGATTCCTCTTACTTGATCAAATAGTTTAGGTTTCTTACATCACACAGTATTGTGCTGATGCTCCTTTATTGTCTGTACCTTTTGTTCTTTACTTAAACTGTTGCATTCATATTTACATCTTTCCTCGACAGAACGAAGACCTCGAGGACGAGTCAAACCTCAGAGATGATAATTCTGAGGTGGTTGATCGCATCCAGCGTATCATTGCTACGCTTGAGCACAATCGGAGTCGGCAAGAGTTATGACTGACGTAAATATATGTATGACGTTGAAAAATTTATCTCGTATGTTTGTATTTATTATTACTTTGCAATAATTATACATGGAGCTTGTGTTCAATTTTTTATTGTATGTCTCCCGTCACAAATGTTCTTCAGATATCCGTGTAACGAAATTAACCAATTTGTCAGATGCGGCTGAAAGGACAAAACAGGTCCCGATGTACATGGTTAAATTGGAAACTAAAAATTCTTTGACTTCAGTTTATTTCACACAGAGAAGATAAGTAAGCGCGGCCATAGAAGCAAGCAATAGGCTACATAAACGCCTACATCAGGCGACAGATCTATCAGCCTACATTTACTGATTTTCTATCTTGCTTGTTCTCGGTTGTGGGGATTAGGATTTAATTTATAATTCCATACGTACACGGATTATGCAATCATTTTTGTTAAGATCACGAAAAGTGTTTTGCTCACAAATCGCTCATCCCGCCTCCTTATCAGCGTCATTTGCACAGTAACCTGAACGAAGCAAATGCTGGTTGGTTTCAAACAATACAGACTTGAGTGCTCACATACAAAATTAAATCTATATCTCATCTATTTAAGCTGTTAAATACCTTATGAATAGAAAACAACGAAGAGAAGCGTACATCAACGATACACAAGCAGCTGTCGTACGAGAAGCTCAGTGTAAAGAAGCTCACTTTAATATGCTGCTCGCAAATAATGCCTCTTAGTAATTGCTGAGAAGCGTCATTATATTGTCGAGCAACCATATACAGCTCTCAATAACTCGACATACGAAGAAATTGATCACAAATGCCGACTAACTAGATGCAGAACATTAAGAATGTCGCTGCAATATTCACAAAAAAATGCCTCTTATGACTTAACTGTGTTCACCATGAAGCTAATATTACCAGACAAAGTAGCCATTAGTACAATGAGTGGATCTAGTTCTACGCAAATGTTCAATGCTCTGAAATTGCTTTCTCCATACGGACAAAATATTTCAAATATATACCTAATAAGATAGCCCCAATGCCCGAAAGTCAATTGTATGCAAATAATAGGCTTGACCAACATCTTTTCTTCTCATCCACAATCGTCAGCCCAACACATTAAAAAAATAATTCATTCGTTCTTAAGAATTAAATGAATTAAAATTCAAAGTGAAGCCAAAAAATTTGCCATTTTTACAACTACATGGAAGAACGTAATGTAGTCTCATAAATTCGTCCTCGAGTGAGATCCTGAAAAAAGCAATGTCAACACCCTTTGGTTCAGGTTTACGCCGATCTAATTAACGAGAACATAGCCAAAACTAAATCGCACACAATTTATGAGTCCAATGAAGGTAGACCAAAACTGAGGTGTAGATGCGGCTTAGGCCGTAAGATATATTGGTTATACACCAACTGGATTACGTCGGTAATTAAGTCAACATCTCAAGTATAATTAACAACAGGATTGATAATAACGCTTGCCTTTCACATGTTAAGCTTGAACTCAAACACGATTTTGGCTGAAGCGATGTCTCAAAAATAGCAATCTTGCAAAAAAACTCTTGGTTCGGTACGATAAATGTAGACTTACCGAAAAAATTAGATCAATGCTCACTGCAGTGAGTGACAGAGAGCGCATTTTCTCGTCCGTCCGTGAAGTCACGGACGAACGGATATGACGAGCATAATAGCGTCTTTTTCCATAAATGACAAAATGCGCTGAAAAGTCAAACTCTAGAGTTTCTAGGAAACAGAACAAGAGAACAAGCTCGTCAAAAATACACCGAAGTTAGAGGGTAAAATTACCCGGATTTATCCGTTAACTCATCACCTCAGGGAGCTGTGCAACCCACTCTTAAAACATTGTACTGTCCTGCCCAGTTCATACTCGTATAATTAACAATAACAATGCGTGGAATGATATCACTTCCACCGCATTTCGTCTTATATTATAAAATAGCAGAACTGGGAAAACAAATTATACCCGATGCCTTACACATTTGGATAAGAAAAATATGAATACACATTTTAAAATAGATTAAAATCAACCTTGAGCGTCATCTCATGACGTTAATTCATCATCATCTCATGAGGTTAACTACTTCATCATAATGTAAGCTAAAATCATATGAAATAAATAAACTTTTTGTCGAACGCGTTTTTGAACACCGCTCCCGTACATATTCAGTGGCATAGACACAGGTCAATAGAATAAACTATGATGTATAATATCATAGAAAATCGAGATCAGCACTGAAAATATGTCATAGAAAATTTTCAGTTCAGATCAACACTGGAGAAGTGAAGAGTTTACACTAACATGTAGATGACATGATCGATGCGCTCAGGTGCAGCAGATTAACAGTAACGAAGCCATTTCCTTGAATACGATTAGAAATTTTTCATCATACCGATACAAGGAAGTAATGATCATGACTTCCAAATTCCTCTCTCTCTAGTACTTCTATAATTACAGAAAAATTAGCAGTAAAAACCATTTGTTCGCGGCAATGAAGAAGTGTGAATCGAGGGTGTATATATATGGTCATAACATGACGCAGAAACGAACACGATATCTTTTCTGCCGTTTGCTTGCTGGATGACAATAAATTTTTTAATGTAGTCGTACTTTCGAATGTGGAACCACAATGGAGGTTTAGTTTGAAAATTATTGGTCAATCATCATTCGTGATACAATCAATTATGAAATAAAAGCAAGAAATCTCAATTGGTATCGATACTCATAAATTTAACATGTGAAGAGCGTAGTTTGAGGATAAAAATTCACTTAAATCATAAATTGAAAAGAAATTTTGTAAGCTCGCGACGGTTAACAACATAATAATTCTCAACAGCTAGAATTTGTGGAGTCTTTGGAGCCTAGGAATATTTCGAAAGCTTGTGAGCAGATTCCATTACGTTAGCCCTGGGCAGAGATGGGCAGAGAGTGTTGACGGTGACGCTGCGTCTAGTTGGTAGGCTCAAGTGTTCGCAACGGCTGTTTATTTAAGTAACCGAAATCAACATAAGGATTTTTGTCACTGTCAGAATTCACTGTCACGCAAGCATGATCTGCAGCTTACGAATCGTGGATGACGTCTACAGCCGTGCGACGTCGGTTCTTAGGACCAACGGCCGCGAAGAATCTTCAAGCCAATGAAAAAAGGATGAATCATGAGTAACATCAACGATTTTCAAGAAAATACAGTGGGAATTCCTACTATTCATTTGTAGATAACTTCAAGCTACGGTCAAGCCGGCAGTGAAACAGCCCGAGAAGTAAGAAGACGAAAGGTAATTGCTGAGTGGACTGTAACGTGATTTGAATGGTAATCGCAGAATGAGAGATTTTCGAATGAGAGACTTGGCCCAAAAATTATCCTCCGAAAGAACGGCCACGAGCTGAAATGATATCACACATGAACAGCCACGGAAACACCATCCTGAAGCACGATCACTAATACAATAATTCAACGGCCATGCCGGCGGTGAGACACAATCAGAAGCTATAATTTTAACAGCGGTAGGCGTAAGTGATGGATACGGGCGGATGCATAAACCATATCAATCAACTGGTCGCACTGCGGGACGTTTATCTGGAAAGTAACGCAGGATTAGATGGGGGATCTAAGAAGTTTCGTTTTGTAAGAGAATAGATTCTAGTGATTAAACAAAATTAAAAGTAACGGGTAAATAACACAATTTTGATTCAAAGTTCAAGCACCTCAGAAGAACCACCGCTAACGCAGATTTTGCTTCCTTATATAAGCAGCCACCGACACTTAGACTTACCAATGCAACAGTTTCTAATGTCCCTTGCTCTGCCCTCGCGTAGCACTCGACCGATATAAACAAACTCGTTCCAATGCTGCCAGTGAGAAACATTGCAACTTCTTAAACTTTCAAATGAATGCATAATTCAAGTAATGTATTCGTGTACCGCTAACTACGCTTTACTCAAACAGATTCGCCGAGGAAAATGCATCTCACATGCCGATAAATACAAGCAGAAAATACCCAAATCTCTGAACAATTTCTTTTACACGCTACATCAGCATTTAACAAGTGGATAAAAAAACAATGAAGCGAGACGGTTTTCATGCCCTACTGTGTGAGTCGGAGCCCATGTCACTGCCATGCGGTGACCGGAGCACGGGCTGTCAACCGAAGCATGACAGAACAACACACGACAGCCCAGTTCACTGCGTGACAATCCAGTTCACTGCGTGGCATGCCAGCTCACTGCGTGGCACCCCAGTTCACCGCGATGCACCCCAGTTCACTGCGATGCACCCCAGTTCACCGCGATGCACCCCAGTTCAACGCGATGCACCCCAGTTCACCGCGATGCACCCCAGTTCGCCGCGATGCACCCAGTTCACCGCGATGCACCCCAGTTCAACGCGTGGCACCCCAGTTCACCGCGTGGCACCCCAGTTCACCGCGATGCACCCCAGTTCACCGAGATGCACCCCAGTACACCGCGATGCACCCCAGTTCACCGCGTGGCACCCCAGTTCACCGCGATGCACCCCAGTACACCGCGATGCACCCCAGTACACCGCGATGCACAGCGATGCACCCCAGTTCACCGCGTGGCATTCCAGTTCACCGCGATGCACCCCAGTTCACCGCGATGCACCCCAGTACACCGCGATGCACCCCAGTACACCGCGATGCACCCCAGTACACCGCGATGCACCCCAGTTCACCGCGTGGCATTCCAGTTCACCGCGTGGCATTCCAGTTCACCGCGTGGCACTCCAGTTCACCACAATGCACCCCAGTTCACCCCGTGGCGACCCATTTTCCCGACATGGCCAGCACGTTATCCGTCCGCCAGAGGAGGAGTGACCCAGCCATATTTTTCGTGGGTCCGAACAAGCGATCGGAAGCTCGCTTCTGCCGCTTTCTGGTTGAAGTCCTTCAGAGGTTTGCGGGATATACGAGCCTGGAATGTAGTCACAAATATAAACTGTGTCTACGTTTAGGTACAAATAGAATTAATTACAGAGGGAAAAGTGTCCATAGACAGAAAGTTACCTCTTTGTCTACTAACAATAGCTCTAACCTCTAATGAAGGCAAAACTGGCATGATAACTGAGAACATGAACATCATGAGTAATGAACGTGGCAGTTGTGACATCCAATATGAAGACTATGAGTAATTACCGAGGCAGCTGTGATATCCAACATGAAGGCCATAAGTAATTAACGAGGCAGCTGTGATATCCAACATGAAGACCATAAGTAATTAACGTAACAGTTATGACATACTACAGGAACAAAAAGAGTAATTGACATAACAGATATTACTCCGCACATGAACAGCATCCATAATTAACATTGTTAACATACCAGGGATAACTGCAAACATGAAAATTAATACTAATTAACATCATTAATATGACACTTGTGACTCACATGGCCCTTGACGAGGCTGGCGGCGAGCTGCATGATGATGGCCTCGATGGTGTAGGCCGACGCCCAGCCGCGCGGCGTCAGCAGCTCCATGCAAATGGCGCCGCCCTCCATCACGAAGCCCTGCCACCATATCAATAAATGTCTTACAAGGCATCAATTTTATTACCGTGTTAATCTTATGTCATGGCGAGCAACACATTTGCATAAGAACCCTATAAAAATCAAGCGACAACGCTTGGTGAATCAAGCCTCGCTAACGTGACTGGCATGACAGTGACACAAATCACGTCTTGCGCTAACGTCAAACTTTTTAAATTATAAACTACGTACAGAATTTGTGAGGTTTGTTTGAAAGAATTCAGGATGCAGGATAAAGGTATTTCTAAATTGTTGAGATCATCTATCCCCTGAAAAGCCCAGCTACCATATAAATAAATGTTTTACAAGACATCAATTTTATTACGTGTTAAACCTACTGTGTTAACAACACATTAGCATAGGAACCTAATAAAAATCAAGCGACAACGCCTGACGAATCGAGCCTCGCTAACGTGACTGGCATAACAGTGACAACAGAAGCCTCGCGCTAACCTCACTGACATGATGATAGTGACACAAATCACGTCTTGCGCTAACGTCACATTTGTTAAATTATAAACTGGGTACAGAATTATGGAGGTTTGTTTGAAAAATTCAGGATGACAGGATGCAGGATAAAGGTATTTCCAAATTGCTGAGATCATCTAGCCCTGGCAGAGCCGGGTCAACCCTCCACTAATTTAGGCGACATTTCAGCGTGGTCTGGGACTGCTACGTTCAGAACATATACGTACCTACTGAGGATATTTTATGAATTTTCTAGCAAATAGACTCACTTTTTCGACCCTCGGCGAGAGTACTCTAAGGAAGGGCGGTTGGAACGGGAAGTTGTCCGGGAACGTCATGCTGAAGAGTATGAATGGCACTCCACAAGCGACCATGTCCCGGTGAAGAAATGAATCTTGATCGATGCGATGCAGTTTTACCTGTAGCAAGACCAAAGGTTAATGTCATGAATATATATCAATTTGCCGGTAAGCTTGGTTTCACGTTTTAATGATAGGGTTTTCTTCAGTCGTTTCATAAGAGATAGAATTTTTGCATGACGCTTGAATACGTACCAATTCTATGCAAAAAATTATCAGCATATAAATACAGTTAGAGCTAATGAAAAGAAAAGTGGAACCACAGGAGCCTATGCTCCAAGTATTTAATACGAATATTTTCCAATGCAATAGTAGTGAGAATGCAAGGAAGCGACAATGCATTCACCTTCCATTCAAAAAGACAATCGTTGACAAGAGCAACAGAGAAGACCGGGTTTGGTGTGGACTGTGAGATCTTAGTGAGCTCTTGAAACTCCTTCATGAGACGCCGGGAGCGCACACGCTTCATGTGGTCTCCTCTCATGGAGCTCACAGGGGCTATGCAATCAACGGTTCCTCTGCCATTAGAGTCTTCAGATAACCCTAGCGAGTCGTCATCATTTAGGCTTTTACTGCTTTTTTTACTTTTCGAAATTGCCGCCTTCGAGGCTACAGGCGCTTCTGTGAGATCAACATCAGCCTTGCTGCTAGTAAAAGAACTGCTAGGTCTGTCAACTGATTCTAAATCAGTTTCCTTTGAAACCGAAGAGAAATCTAACTTCGAGTCAGAAATAGATTCCTTCTTTGCACCAGGTAAACTCTTGGAAGATGAGGGATTCGATTTTTTTCTACTGCTGCCACCACCAAGAGACGAGGAGAATGCAGTACTGTCATTTCTGGCACCATAGCCTGTATCGTCGACAGGACTTATTTTCGCACCTTTAGTAGCTAAAGATGCAGCCGCATGCACTGCACCTTTGAATGACTTGATAGATAGTGCAGGACTTTCAGCAGGCGCATTAGCTCTGCACTCATTATGTGCTACCATGCAACGATTAAGAGGAGTTTCCTTATTATGAAAGCACAACTGATCGTCCGCTACGTCAGTTGAACCTCGAGCAGCAGTCACGTTCCTGTATAGACTACTAGAAAGAGTATTAACAGCAGTACTTTGATGTGACTCTTTCGAATCATCATTTGAGGACTGTCCACCGCTACTACACCATCTCGAAAACCGTCTTAGAGCGGAAGTACAAAAGTTCATCTTATTTGACCAACAGCTTCTGAGCGCGGAAGAGGATGTACGTCTTCGACTTCTTTTGCGGACTCTGCTGGAAATTTCTTCTACTACATCTACCCCTTCACTAACAGACGCAACTCTTGGCACTTGATTCTGATCTATTTTAGCGGAAAACACTAAATCTGAACTAAGCTCTCTGGAGCAATAAGGTGACTGATCTTGATGTGCTCGAATTAAAGGGCGTCCCTCACCAGAGAAGATGGGTGTCGATATATTCGTGTTATTTGATGAGATGGAACTCGAATGGTTGGTTAATTCCTGTGAGGAAAATCTTTCTTTTTCTTTCACGTCAAGCGAAGGGAGCAATTTATTTTGTAAAGAATTTACACTACAAGAACTTTCAGTCTTGGAATCAATTCTGGATCGAGCAGAGTTAAGAGTGTGTTCTTTCACCGGCAATAATATCTTGGAGTTGTTCAAGCGTTCGGCGCAGTCATTCCCATCGAGAGTTGAGAAATTATTTTCAAAGTTTTGAGGCTCAACAGGCGGACGTGAAGCAGAGGGGCCATCAACATTGTTGAGTAAGCGGCTATTAGAGCTCGCCTTATGCTGCAGTGTCCGACAGCTGTTTCCTTTGCTGTCTTCATCTGCAGAGCATAGAACATCATTCGCAAAATTTTCATTTAAGTTATAATATCCATCGGATGCGTCCGACAATTGGTTCTGGTATGAACTTTTTTGTTCGTGGTCCAACAGTCTAACATCCATAGCAACTTCATCTAGAGACATTGGTAAAGTTGTTAAGCTAGAATCAACAATCTTCTTTGGCACGCCATCGTCTGTAAAACTATTTTTTAGTGTACAATCATTTGATTGTTCCATATGATTCAAATTTTTATCAGAGAAAGAGACCGAAGAAGAGTTTCGATCAAGCAGAGTTCTCTCATCAATTCCATAATCCCCATCAATGTTAATATCAAAATTCATTTCGGTACTAAAATCATCATTTTCATCTGATGTTGCCAACACAACTTCACTGTCCAAACTGCAACCCTGAAACGAAATATTTTTATTGGCACCGGTCACCTCATATTTATTACACAAATCAATTTCATTGGAGGCTGAGACACCCCCACGGAAGCCGTTGATTATTGAACCATTAGATTCATTATTAACGCTTGTATTAGAATGCTGTGTGTCGGACTTGAAGTCAAGCACGGTCGACACTTCAGACCCAGCGACGGACGAACGCGCTGCGCTGTCGAGACTGTCTTTCGCCGGTGGCTTGGAAGACGACATGTTGGCATTGTTGGGTGACATTTTCACTGCAGCGCGGAAGTGCTCGCTTTTCTCTAATGATTGGACTTTACCGCATATGTTCTAAATCTGGGGTTATAAAAAATGTTTCATTGGGATCTAACTAATTTTGAAGTTTCTCCAAATGCCCGTGCAATAAATCTCAATTCTGTGCACTTTCACAGGAGTCAGAAACGCCCAGCCAACAACATTCTTTTCTGAGTGATCGCTGCTCGAACGCGCTTTTGCGGAATCTGCAAAATAAGAAAAAAAATTCGGTATTAATTGCTTAACAAATTATTTGAACACATGGCATTAATACCGTATCTGAATAAAACAGGCAAGGAGAAAGGAGGAAGAGAGGACGCCCAAAAACAACTTGGAGGCGAATGGTGGAAGAGGAGAGAAACCGAGCAGGCTGGAACTCGTGGAACATAGCACGGCAGGCAGCTGCAAACCGGACCCAGTGCATGGAGGAGTGACGTCCAAGCCTTGTGCGCCTTATGGCGCGGAGAGAACTGAACTGAACTGAATAAAACAGGCAGGCAATAATCATTCCTAGATGACTAGATTGAGAGCAGAGCACATTTATGTATGCACGGAATCAGAGATATGGAGAATATTTCAAAATTATCCGGCTTTGTCCTAGACTAAAATTTTAACCCGAAATAATGTGAGAAATTTGAAACCAATAGTTGCCTGCCATGAAAATTACTCATTTCCAAAAAATCATAATAAGCGCACAATGGCAAAGTGTCAAGCATCATACGCAGACGCAGTCTTTGTAAGAACTGAGGTCACAACGGTTTATTTCCAACTATAGTTCGAGCCCACAGGGTCATTACTCACTTCCAATAACGAAACCCATAAATTGAATGCCTAATTGTCACGTATCTCCCTCTCACTTAGTTGTTGTTTAAACCTCATTCTTTCAAAGCAGCGCATGCCTGTTTACAGGCTATTGTATATCTGTCCTAGCCAGAAGGCTGTTGTCGGCCTCTAGCATAGACATATTATTATCCGACTAATCACTTCAGACGAGCGTCAAACGGTTGCATTATATTCAGTCTCAGACGACAGAAGTAGATAGAGAAATTATTCAATATTCAGTCTCACACGACAAACGTAGGCAGAGAAATTATTTAGCCAGTTTGGAGTATTTATAATGTGAGTTACTGACATAATTATTGAAAACGCAAACATAATAAAAAAAAATAATCGACATGAATTCTCGCCCATGTTTCAAACACTTTAGAAAAATTTTATAAGAAAAAACATTTAAAAAACGCCACACGATTAACAACATATTGACCTAGATCCGCGTGAATGATATCCATCTATGTTGTCCGCATTTGAAACGAGCACTGGAGTGATTTCGGGATGAACAATAATTAATTAATAAGACTTTTATCGGGGAAATGAGCGACGGTTACTACGGTATGTGGTCTTAAAACTCACAAGACCCTAACCCAAGAATCGAAACTGAATAATCCCTTCACAATCTTACTTTTTGCCATTTCCGTTATGAATTATTTGAAGAGAATATTCGAACATCTCAGAGCTGAAAACAAATCCAAAACAACTGTCGCCATCAAAGAAAATGATTCGTATCAGCAATGGCCTTGGGAATTCGGCCTTGGGTCAAGGCTGTACAAGGACAACCAATATGTCAAAAAAAATCATCCTCGATAAGATGGTATCTAATTAAACTGGAAATTGAACTTGAGAGAGCAGCAAGGTCATATGCGACATGGAATATTTAAAAAATATGTATTCAGGATACCATGGTAAATAAAAGTTAACCATGAAAATTTGAGCGAGTAATGCGACAATTACAAAGAAGATTAAACTAGAGTGGCTTAAACCACGGAAGTCGACATAAATCCGTTTCACTGCTGTCGGATGAAATTGCTTTAAAGCATATAACATTACGTAAAATAGGGAAAAAGAGCAACCGAGGACAGTGTTGATTCTTGCTCCAACTGAATCAAATGCTCTTGCACCATGCACCAACTATAATAGCGAACGCAGTAATTAGTGACAGTTAAGCGAAAAAAACGGCAATTTTTAATTAAAAATCGCGCAGCAGCCGAGTTTCTGTCGACTTTGGAGTCATGATTTTGCCTAAATGTTACATCGATTTCCGACAGTCCGGCTAGGTCAAGTTCCCATATGGTCGGTTTCCGGTATTCCACTTTATTGCTTGGAACAAAAGTTTGAAATATGTTAATCGACCAACACACACAAAATCAACGGAAATTGATTATGTTAACGAAATGTTAATCGGAAATGTTAATCGGCCAACGGAACTTAATGAATTCATACTTCTTGTCATTGCGGCAGCTAGCGAGTTATATAATAGGTATATTTGATAAATCGCAAGCGAATCAGCAATAAATCCAGCGTCGAGCACCAGCTAGGCAGTCGAGACCTCCAGCAAGCGGCTTGACTGGGCAGACGCTCACCTCTGCTTCGGACTCGAAGAATGCAGTTTTATTTCACAAACGGTAATGAATAATTACAGTATCTATACTTCTTCAACAAGGGAAAATAGGCAAATCCCAGAATATCGATAAACACAGCACATCACTAGGTATGCTTCACTGCAACAACGTACTAATTTATTACACTAGCGCACCTAAAAAGGACCGGTCTTCAAACGTCGACTAGTCAATTTACTTCAGTAATCTTAATTAAGGAAGTTAGTTAGTTAGATTAGTGGCCAAATGTTTACTAGCGCTTCAGCTATTTAGCTATCTCGCACCGAAAGTCAAGATGAACATCACCATAGAGGTGGAAGGTCTCAATTATTCATCACCCACAAGGGGCAGAAGGTCTCAATTGTCCAGCCCGCTGAAGCTGGCTCGAAAGAAGCAGCGTTAGCATCTCAAAGAGACGTAGTGACAAGGAGGAACAGGTGAAAAGCAACAGAAACGAAGACACTCGAACAAGAGGTCGCTTACACGGGACGTCGGCCGCCCGCACGAGAGAGACAGAGAAGGGAAATGTAAGGAATCCTGCCTACATAATAACTTAACCCCACAACTGAGAAGTGGGGCGCTCAGGAACAATCCCCCTAGGAGCGCGAAATCCCATAGGACTTCTGACGAGCACAGACACCCGTCAGAAGTCCCCCCTGAGGGGTTAATTAAGGAAGTTATCAGAGCCGAAAAAATACCAGCTTTGAAAAATCACCAGTTTAAATTACACAATTTTTATCATCTGTTTCCATGAATCACGTTCATAACACAAGCGCCGGCAGCTGTAGGCCTATATAAAACTGTTGATAGGCATTGGCTTCGACTTCCTGCAAACTCAGAGCAGAATAACATAGAGTCTGGGCACGTATTTCTTCATCATTATATTTTCCCTAAAGGCTTCATTAGATGAGGCGCTCCTAGATAGCTTTCCCACATCATAAGCCAAGCTCGTCGTTTTTCCTTCCCCGAGGCTAGGGAGGTAATAAACCATCAGAAACTAATCCTACAAATGAGCACAGACAGTTACACGCAACCTAGAGATCTGAAGTATCTGCAGTGAGTAATACATAGTATAATATACGTTTAAAAATTACTTTTTAAAGACAACACTTCCAAAGAATCCAGTATCTCCAATCTTACAGATGTACAATGAATTTCTCATCTAATTTTCGAAAATTAAAAAAATTACCTTTTCAATTTTTTAAATATATATAAAATTTTTTTAATATATACATTTTTTTCAAAATTATTTATTCTGTTAATTGATTCTTGCATTGCCTCTGATTTCAAACCAGTGTGCAAAATTTCAGATCAATTAGACAGGTAAAAGTGTGTCAAATATCAGTTATAAGATTTGTAGCTGACGAAATTATTTTTTCAATTTTTTTAATATTGAAAAAAAAAAATTTTTTAATTTCTAAAATCATTTATTTTGACATTTGATTCATGCATTGTCTCCAACTTTACACAAGTTGGCAAAATTTCAGATCGATAGGATAAGTAGAAGTGTATTAAATTTTGATTACAAGATTCGTAGCAGACAGACAGACAGACAGACAGACAAGAAGTGAAGTTAAAGAGAAGTGTTGTAAAAAGAAATGCGAGGGGAGGGGGCAGGGTTCATTTTACGAGTAAAGCGTAAAAGTTTTTTTAAGTTAAACAATTTTTAAATACCCGTTTCGTCCACAAACGAGTCCAAAAATTCTAAAATTTATGAATATTCTCCCAGGAAAACTAAAGAAACGTTGGTAGAAATTGTTCACACCATTACATCGAAATCACAGAACTATCGAAATCACATCTGATAAACCTATTAAAAACCGTTCCCCCATGAACAACCTACATATTAATCAAATTGACTGTAGAAACTTCAAAAATAATTTATTATAGTTGCCATTTCGGCATTATGAAAATGTTTGCGTGAAAACGTTCCTAAAATTTGCGGTAACACGCAGTTATTTCGAAAACCGATAGAATTTAGAAATATTACCTCAGAAAATTTTAATTTTGTGATATCTGAATTTTTGGGGAGTTTCTAGTTTGTGTTTTTCTAGATCAGATACATTCAAATTCACACTCTGATTGTCGATAGTACGAAGCATTTATAAGTATGAAAATATATTACCTACCTATTTATTCTACAAGGAGACAATAATTTCGAACAATAACTAATATGTAACTTTCAAGTCATTTTGTAGTTTATTTGCACACTTCAACAAATAGAACTCGAAATTCTACACCGAAACTTAGGCTTCAAGAGGGTGGCCGCGTACCTCGAATATTTATCACCTGCTTACATCAAAACAAACGCAGTTCACCACTTACGCTGACACATGATGCTAAAACTGTGCCTACATTCCTGTACAAACACATTTCTCGTAGTCCAAAATTTGTTGGTAGAAATTGATAGGAAAAAACTCTCTGTCTGTCATTTCTATTAGAATTGCAAAGACCGGCCATCAATCCTATGGAAATGTAGTGAACAATCCCTACCCTCAATCAAAAATTTAATTAGCACTAGAAGTAGAAAAAGCAGGTGATTAATAAGATTGTTTAATTTATCCAACTCCGTTCAGTGCCGAAAATTTATGTCACCAAAGATATTTGTTTTAATGTGCAGCATTTTGAGAACAATGAATGAGAGAAGTTTTTGACAGTAATAGGTACAATAATTAGGCTACGAGAACAACATCTTATTTTATGGATTAAATTGAATGGTGAAGGTAACGCAAATAAATCTATAATTATTTTTAAATAAATTGAAATCAT